ACACAATCCCTAGATATTCAAAAGACAAGTACTGACCAAATGACACTTGCTTGCATTTATACTATTTATAGTATTACAAGGAGAAGGTGACTTTTCAGGACATTATCCCATGTCCCCACTTTTCAAAACGCATATAAATCACACAGAATGGAGTGTATTGAAAATCTAAAATAGCACAAAGTTTCCTGTGAGGGGTAGGTTTAGAGGTAGGGTTGGTGTGGGGCAATAGAATATACGGTCTGTACAGTATAAAAACCATTACGCCTATGGGATGTCCCCACTTTTCACAAAAACTAACCTGTGTGTGTGTGTGTGTGTGTGTGTGTGATTACTGTTTTCTTAAACTCTTAGCACTCTGATTCCAGCCTCTCTGGGCTCATGGGCTGGATTCTCTGTTAAGTTAATTTGTATAATTTAATTTCAACTGCCCAAGGGTTCTCAGACCCATACCTGTATATTCGACGCAGCTTTGCTTTTTTGGTTTAGTGCATTTGTGTGTTTGTGTGCGCCTTCGAGTGTTTTTGGCCAATGTTTTTGCTGCGCGTTCGCGTGCGCTTGTTTGTTTATGCGTGTGAGTAAATGCGTTTGCGTGCGTGTTTTTAGAACTCATTCCAGACTTTCTGGGTGGGTTGAGCTATTGTAATGATGCTTTTATTACATTATTTAGTAATGTCTGCGTTTAGAGATCCATCATGAATTGTCAGAGGACATCGCCTTAGTGTGAGACAGCTAGACCGTGTGTGCATGTGTGTGTGGCGCTGAATCGATTCAGCAGCAGTGTAGCTGTGAATATTTAAGTGATTTAAGATTAAAGAGTCTGGAGCCGAATAAAAGCGGCACAGATTTAATATCAAACCATATTAAAGAGGCTCAGCTTTATGAGGTCACAGAAGATCTGCAGTACACAGAGCACAGCTGTGAGTGGAGCGAGAACAGAGGAAGAAAAGGAGAGAGGGGTCAGATAGCATAACCAAAACTTCTTGGGCTAGATTTCTTTTTCTGAATTACACACTGAGCTCTATTGTATACTTGACCTAGTATGCAGTAATGCTGATTCAGGTTATGATAGCCTACTGCTAGTAAAAAAAAATTAACGAAAGCTAGAAACAAGTTATCCATCCTGCCATCCTGCCTTTAATTCTCCATTTTCTACCAGTTTCTATCAATTTCCCTCCTTTCACCGTTTTTTTTCACAATATTGGATGAGAGTGACGGGTCTGCAAAAACTGCCAGAGAAAGAAAGTTGACCAAATTAGTGTTTTCCATAGAAACCTCTCGTTCTCGCCTCACACAACATGCAGCAGAAGAGTTTTGTCATAGTAATAAATAACTGTGTATTTTTTAGTTCAAGTAATGGTGTGTGCTTTGGCGCTTGACAAGTATAATAAATGCGTGTAAGCTGGAGAGCATATATGTGTATGATTTTGTTTTTTGAAAAACGCGTGTGCTCATGTGTGTTTTTGTGCATGTGTGTCATTTGATGTTTTTATTTGATTGGCAGTCCTGTCCCGCTTTTAACACTCAGTCTGCTCTGATTCTCAACATATGCCACAATTACACTACCAGTCATCTGTTCTAACACTTTAAAGATGTGGAACTTCACACACTTGGACGCTCACACATACACAGACTGAGTAAGCCTAATGTACAAGCATGTGGCTAGGGAAAGTTTGACAAGAAAGTTTTTTTTTTTTTTTTTTTTTAGATCCAGGGTTTTCTAGGGGTCATTGTGGGTCTCTTATGGATCTCCAGACAGGAGTTTCAAGATATTTTTATATTAACAAATTATTTTTTTTAAGAATTAGCCTAATGATGCCAGTTATTTAAAATGTAAGTATGCACTAGGTGTGTGAAGTTTGAAAAACCCCTTATGTGGAGACAAAACAAAACGAATTAGGAAACTCTCTTGACTTCACCAGCTAACTTTTTTTTACAGGCGGTTCCTTTCAGGGGTTACGAAATGAGAAATATTGTGTAATCGGCAGCGAACGTCTGATGCTATTGTTAGCGCTACAGTGATTTATATTTGTTTGCGTCTTGATGAACGTCATAGTGGCGTCGCGCTTTTCCGCGGGAGGATTTTCAATGAGGTGACGTCACGCCGGCAGCCAATCAGCTGCTAGGGGTCGGTCTCTGGAGCTGGCCGTAGTAGGTTATCAGCCTGAATCCTCGCAGTCCGAGGTCAGGAAGCCAGATGAGCCCGCAGAGAAGCGCTTGCTCACCGCGACCAGCCCAAGCCAAAAGTCGCTGAGAGGACGAGGAAGTTCGGTATGCAGAAGCAATGCTGACTGACCTGCACGCAGCCATGGTACCGAAGCGCGAGCCGGCGAAGTCGGAGGAGCGCAAGCGCACGCAGGCGGCGTGTGAGTGCCAAAGCCAATGCAACAACTGCAAGATCTTCCTGAGTTTATTCATTCTCTCGCTCTCTCTGCACCTCGTCACGCTCTTCTGCTACCTGGACCTGCGCTCGGAGCTCAAACGAGAAATTTCCCAGAAGAACAAAGATGAGGTGTCATCAACGGGGCCGGTGCCGCACTATGAAGCCACAGCGCCAGTGCTCCGGTTACCGGACACCGACCACCCAACAATAGACGACCAGGTAACGTTAAACTGAGTTATCTGTTGTTCTATACAAAGAGCAGAAACCTCCTTCCTGCTCACTTGGCTTCAGCTTCTGTTATTGAGAAGAGAATTTCTTATTGTCTTGTCTTCCATACGATTGATTGATTGATTGTGTATGTGTGTGTGTTTTGTTGGAGAACTATTGTTAGAGTCCACTTCCTTTAGATCATTGCTTCTCAATCCTTGACCTGAAGTACTGCTCATTTTGGAGGTGTCCCTTATTTGAAACACCCAGCTCAGGTCTTGGAGCATGTACTAATGAGCTGATGGTATAAATCAGGGGTAAACATCCAAAAAAGTCTTTAGGACGAGGCTAGAGAACCAAGTAATAATTGTGATTAAAAAAAAAGTAATAAAAAAAGAATGATCAAAGAGTGAGTGATGCAAGATGATACAACACAAAAAAAATAACTCCACTAAAATAAAACTTTAAACCAGCAATTAAACTTCAATTTTTTTCTGAGTAAAATCAAGTGGTGCAGCCTGCTGCGATTATGTCATTGCACTTTTTTACATTACTAATGAAGAAAATCAGGCTGAAACTTTGAAAATTTGTATAATTAAGTAGAAATGACAGAAATTATTGGTTAAATTATTGTGATTTTTTAACACTATAGTTATTGTAATCAGTAGTTGTATACAACTGTTACTAATATTATATTAATATTAATATGCACATTTAGGTACAAAAAGCAATCAGTATTTACACCAAATGTGTTATTATTATTTGTTGTCATTTATAGTAGGATTTAGTTCTCTTTTCCACATATAGCAAGGACAGATCCCAATTTTGCTAAAGAGCACATGAATTGCCCTTTGCAGGGGTTTGATCCTGCAACCATTAAGTTCCCTGTGAGAATCGTTAACCCTTTAACCCCTGGGCATGACAGAAACCTACCTGGTTTGTAGGCTTCAGTCACTGATTTTGGTGAGCATTGTCTCTCACCCCACTCATATTGTGCGTCAAAAGCCCAGGAGTGACATGCTTCTCGTAACTGTGAATCGTTCACCTGCAGGGTACATTTGTTCTGTTTAAACAACATCTGTCCTTTTTACGAGCTCTCTTCATCAGACGTGCTTTTACTGTCAGGCGGCACAGGTCGCTGTTTATTTAGCCTTTGCTGCGGTTTGGCCCGGACTCGTGTTTAATTCCTTTGGCAAAAGGCCAGGCTCGTCGCAGCATTTCCTGATGTTCACCCCGCAGGCAGTGCGTTAGTGCTGGATCCAGAACGCTTGGCTTATGGATGCGTTTTATTAGTCATAACTAGGGGTGAATTCTGGAGGTACAATTACACACACAGACAAATTTCCTACAGTGAATGAATAAATGAATCTAACATATGGCTGTGGCCTTTCTGAAGTGAATATGAAGGTGCGAAGACATCTCATCCCTGGTGCACACAAATGGTACAGTAAACTTTAGTGGAATGGGCTATAGTAGGCTAATTCAGTGGTTTTCAAACTTGTTCCTGGGGACCCACTCTGCACATTTTGCATTTCTCCCTAATTTACACACCTGATTCAGATCATCAGCTCATTAGGAAAGCGCTCCATGAACTCAAATGAGTGTGTCAGATAAGGGAGACATGCAAAATGTGCAGAGCAGTGGGTCCCAAGGAACAGGATTGAAAACCACTGGGCTAATTGTTCTGTTTGCTTACTGTGCTATTGCCAAGTAGTAGATGTTCTTATCATACTGGTCCATCACAGTCATCTTATTTATTTATAATAGCGTATATGCTTGTATTCTCAGTTTTCATATTTATAATGCCATAATATGATTTTTAGGCACTCAGAGTTGCCTCAACTCATGAAGAATTTGTCATAAACAGATATCTTAAAATGCGAAAGAAGTCACCTGTTTCTCCAGAAGCATCTTCAAGGGAATGTGAAAAACACACTCGTATCTTGAACTTGTGAACTATTTTTTGGGTATCGATGTTTCCACCAAGTAAAGTGATATTGCTGCTACACTTTTAAAAATAAAGGTGCTTCACAATGCCATAGAATAACCTTTTCTGTCTAAATGGTTCCATAAAGAACCTTTAACATCTGAAGAACCTTTCTGTTTCACAAAAGGTTCTTTGTGGCGAAAGAAGGTTCTTCAGATTATAAAAAGGTAAGAAAGAGATGGTTCTTTAAAAAACCTTTGACTGAATGGTTCTTTGTGGAACCAAAAATGGTTCTTCTATGGCATCGCTGTGAAGAACCTTTTAAGCACCTTTATTTTTAAGAGTGTAGGCATGATTTATTGGAATCATCCAAACACACACTTAAGTGTGTGTGTGTGTGTGTGGAGGTGTTGCTGTGTGCATTTGCGTGCATATACAGTATGTGTGTTTGTCAGTATTGCACTGATGCATGTCAAAAGAAGGCGTGTAACCATGACGACTCTGATTGATGGAAGGAGGCAAGAGCGTGGTTAGACTGTCAAAGTAAAAATGACATGCAATGAAGCCACAGGGCAAGAGATAGTGTGTGTACAACATGACCACTCTGCTGTCATGTAAAAACTGCTATATATAGTATAGTTTTTCTAAGAAAACAAAAACAACCAAGGTAATTTAAATTTTGTTTTGGTATGTTGTATGGTTGAGGTTGTTTTTTTCGTGTTTTTTTTTTTAAACAAAATGGAAGTATCATGGTATCATCAGTCATGGTGTCTATTACCAATTATGTAAGATATATGTATGTATATCTTGTATAATATGTATATAAGCTGTGAGTAACAATGAAGCTGTGAGTTAAGTTCATTAATAAAACATAAATTTTATCCCCTTGTTGCTGAGGAATATAAAGTAGCAATCCAGTATCTAAGCTATTTTATTAATAGAAGTCGCGGAGCAGGGCTGACAACAAGTTTCTGTGCTTCTGAATATTTGTGTGCGAGTGGTGTGTGTGTGTGTGTGTGTGTGTGTGTGTGTTGCTGTGTTCGGAATGGCAAACTACCTTACTGTTTACTGCCAAGTACACAGTGCATACTGCCTATTTTTTAAGAATAGTGTGTGAAACAGTATACAATAACCAACCCATAAAGTTTCAGAGTAATATGTTACAGTGTTGTCACATGACGAACACCGAACATTAATTCAGCACAGCTGTCAAGGCTGTTAGCTTATAAATAAATGTGCTAACCATTATTTTTACAAAGGCTTGTTAATAATGGTTCATACTAGTAAACAATGATATATTGCCCAATTGAACTAATTTAATAATTAATGAACTTTACATATTGAACAAAACTGAGTCAACACTAAACTGTCTTTAACTGAACAATGATATTATTTTCTTTTAGGCAGGTACACTAAGGCCCCGTCCACACGGAGACGTGTTTAGCTGTATACGCATAAATTTTGTATCGTATAGGTGTTTTGTCCAGACGGATCCGGCGTTTTGGGAGAGTGAAACCGATATTTTTTGAAACCGGGTCCCAGAGTGGATAAAT